GATATCCTGGATGGAACGCACACAACCTGAGGTCAGCCATCTAATCCGGTATTCTACTAGTCATAATTGCCATAATTGCCACCCAGTCCTTAAAAATCACTTTAGAGCAGTGCAAAATTCTACCTTCTTATCATTATCTAACTATTCCAAATTTGTGTAAACAGTAGGGCAGTTAATGAAGGGAAGGAGCTAATAACTTCTCTTCAGTGATCTTTCCATAGTGGTAGAATTCAAAGGTATAGCCATGTTAGTCTGTAGAATCAGTATGTAGAGAGATCTTGTAACATATTTGAGACTAACTAAAGAAATAAGTTGGCAACATGAACTTTCATAGACTTAAGTCTACTTCCTCAGATGCATTGGTCCAAACTGGACTGAAGTCTACGAAAGCTCATGTTGCCAACTTCTTTCACTAGTTAAGTCTCAAAGGTTTTGCAAGATCTCTGTACATACTGATTCAGTGATCATGTAAAAGGTCTCATCATACTGTTTAGACTCAAGAGACAATCTACCCTGAGGTTAGGAAGAATTGCTGGAAATATTTTAAGCCAATTTGCAGAGATGGGATAACTAAACTCGGTCATGGATTGGCAGAGTTCAAAGGTACTTTGGAAAATCAGTATGCAAAAAGATCTTGTAGTACCTTTGAGATTAACTGAAAGAAAGAAGTTGGTAGCATAAGCTTTTATAGACTTCAGCCTACTTCCTCAGATAACATGCATCTGAGGAAGTAGACTCAAGTCTACAAAAGCTTATGCTACCAATTTATTTATTTCAGTTAGGCTCAAAGGTGCTGTAAGATCCCTTTGCAGATTGGGTCATGCACTGTGTAGTGGCGACAGCTCCTGAGCAGTTTATGAAGGCAACACAGAAATAGAGTTGAGGTGGAAATGAAAAGAAGTCATAATTAATTGTTCATATGGAATGTGAACAATTGGTATATTTGCATTTGATTGAAACAGATTTTGAAAACAGAATGATTACTCTGCCTTTTTCTCTTTTATACAGGCATCTGTTGGCTGGCACTATCCTGTAAGAGCCATTCCTTCTTAAGAGAGAGGAGGAATGCCTCTTCCAAGATGGCAGCTCCTATCTGCATTTTTTCCAAGCACTTTTATCCAATATGATTTTTAAAAATCTGCTGTTTACTTTATCATCTATTGTTTTTTCTGTTGGAAGATTTTTGCATTATCTTTCCCCCTCCTTAGAGAGAGAGGGAGTTTCTGCATGCAAACTCTCCTCTCTCTCTCTCTCTCAAAATATTTTAAACTGAGCTGTTGTGTTGCCATCTTCCTGCTATCTCAACTTTATTTAGAAAGATGGTGAAATAAATATTACTTTTACCTGAACTATTCACTAGCTAGATTAGGATATAGCTTCTATGTAAATATAGATTAAAGTAATTAATAAACCTTTGTTTATAAACTACAAACTACGTGTTTGTCACCTTTTGAGTCAGGGCCTAAAGGGCTGGCCTGGGGGTGGAGTTGGGGTGGGACAACCACACACCGGCCACCCCAACGCCAGTGTCACGCTGTGTGCCTGACCGCACAGCGCATGGCGTCAGGGTGCCCCGTTGGCGTAGCGTGCAGACACGCTGCACCAAAGGGGTGCAAAAGAGCTGCGGTGGCGGCTCTAAGGGCCGCTTTTTGCCACCCCCAAAAGGAGTGGCATTTGCCCGCTCTTTTTGGAGCTGCAATAAGGAGGATTGCCGTGGCCCCGATCTGGCTGCATTGGTCCTCAGTCTCAGTTCTTAGGGAAGCATAGTTAGACAAAGAACCATCTTCTGCTACCCTGCTGTTTTAAAGCTAGACCCCAACAGGCTTGACTTTGACATTTTTTGATATTCAATATTTTTGTTTCCTTAGCAAAGGCTGAAGCCTTAGGAAACTCCCCACACTTTTTAATTGGATGGTAAGAAGGTCTCAGATTCTAATAGCATCCTAGAGGCAGACTAGCCATCTAGTCTAGATTTCTGTTATCATGAAGCGGTACAACCTACCCAGATCATAAACAATCCTGGACATTTTTGCCAGCTACAAAGTGCAGGTAGAAAGGTACTCAGTTCACCTGAGATAGCTCATGCAAATAAGTACTAGGAACAAAACAGACACTGGCTCAATAAAATTAAAGTTAAAAAGAGGGGTGGCAGAGCCCAAGAATGCCTAGAAATCACACCTTCTGGTCTAAGCTGATAAGACAGTGCAAATGTTTGTCCTCTTCCCATTCTCTAATTCAGGGGTAGGCAACCTTTCCCCTTTAAGGGCCGAGGGACTTCAGCTCCCAGAAGCCTCAGCCACGTTGGCCAATAGTCCCATGTTGGCCAATAGCTCCTAGGATTCTGGGAGCTGAAGTCCCTTGGCCCTTAAAGGGGAAAGGTTGCCTACCCCTGCTCTAACTACTCCAGTTGTATGAAGGGCCTGGCTGTTGTTAATCTGTGCTGAGCGACATGTATTTCCACCTGTTCACAGGCTGTATCCTTTGCTGGTGCTTTACATATTCCAGATAAGCTCTGCAGTAAAAAAAGGGTTTAGAGCTAAGACACAGAGAACTCTGACTCAAATGATTGCTTTGCTCATATACCGTATTTTCCGGCGTATAAGACGACCAGGTGTATAAGACGACCC